TTTCGGTAACGCCTACAACACTGCCGTTCTGTCGCCGTTCCCCTTCTGCTGGGTAGTGTAGTCTAGTCAGAGTCTGGCAATGAACTGTTTTATTAGGTGCGGAGCATGAGCTTATATACTCAGCGCGCTAGTAGCTACAGCGCCGACTGCCGGGATTATGACTGGCCCATGACAGGTAGCACGGGCGTAACGAGCCTCCGACGAGCGCTTGGCCGGTGCTTTGTGCGCGAACACCATGGAAACAAAATCCGGGTGGTCTCGATCAGCCAACGGTTTCCCTGCACATAAGCAAGCCTCGGGACGGAGATTGAAATGGAAGCCGCACTTGCCTTCAAGAAAGTGTTTGCCGCACAAACGGTCGTTCGCGCGAGGCGACCATACTTTTCGATCCACGGATATTATCCACCTTCTAAGCCTTTCAGAGTCTGCCGAGAACTTGTGGAAACTCACTCTACTGCTTTTCTTGAACATTTTGGCGCAATTAACGGCAACACAGCTTCGCGGCATGCTGAAATGCTATGACGCCCATGCGAAACGTGTGCGCTTTTGCCCACAACCCCCGGCTCCGGCGCGATCGCAGCGCCGCCGCAGCTCCGTGACGTCAAGCCCGCGTGTCGGTCCCCCAGCGCCCCATTAGCCCCGAGAGCGAACACAAGCGTCGCTGCGGTCGCCGCGCCCTGATTGGGTGAGGTGTACCATGACGTCAGGGGGAGTACTCCGCTCCGCGATCTCGCATCGGCTCGCTTCCCAGTACCGATTTCCTGGTTTGGCGTTGTGTGCTGCAAGCTCTTCGAGGAGCTGGACTTGGTTTACCCGGTGTACAAGACGTTGAGTTAGGCCGATATTGACGTGCTTCCGTACATTTTATAAGCCTGCTTGTCCCTCTTACCTTTAAAATTGGGTTACAAATCCCGAAAGCACGGCAATCTTGCGAGGAGTCGGTGAAGCGGTGGCGCATGTGTTTCAGACTCTAGAATTCTGTTCCTTGCACGTTCATGATTCAGAACAATATTACATTCCGCTTTCAAGGCATTTGAAGTGGCATTTATATCATGGGCCTTTGGGTGGTCGGCAATTTAGCTCGCGACTCCGACTCTGCGCTGCCACTCTGTATGCGCTGGTTCCCAGATGTTTTAAAGGCCCTGCGTCTGATGATCTTTGAAGTGCTCGTTGAACAGCGTTGTTTTGCATAAATGTAGCTTCTTCGTGAATTAATTATATAGTTTATACACGTATGCAGGCATATTTCTTAGAAGATGCACGATTACTGGAAATTAGTTTGTATGGTAGCAGCATAAACGGCTGAATTGCACCCAGTTGCCTGTATAATATGTATTGAACTGCCAAAAATATGCACAGCAATAGTGCCGTAATTTGGAATGGTTATACTTTTTCCTGACATTCTTTATTCCAGCCTTTGGTATTCGGAAAATACAACGTTGGGCCTGAATTGTCATTTCCAATTAAAAGAGACACTGCTGCAGGTCCCCAAAAGCTTCCTCAGCCTCGAAACTCCCTACAGCTGGACTCTATGACAGCAGAGGAAAACAGGAGTAAAAGCAAGCATTCGAACGGCTGTCCAGTGGTAGGTGCAGCACTAGTAGCAGAAAATGTGGAACCTGTGTAGGGCGACAGTCTGCGTGAGAAAAGCCTCTGATATTTTAGCTTCAGGACAATTCAATTTAAGTAAAATCTCAATTTTAGGGCTTAAGGGACTAATAACAAGCTAGACACCTACACCTTCGCTTACGTTTGTTATACATTACTCGAGGCTTGATATAAACAAGTTCACAGATACCACCCATGTAGTCCATTGAAATACTATCCGAATCCAACAAAGGTCAAATGCGAGCAATGTATATTATAAATGTATCTTGTTTTTTTACTTTGCCCCAGCAACAACGTACTTGTGATTCTCTCCCCATGGCCCAGACTGTATTTAGTATGTTGCTCGAACAACATGCAGCTTTTCTGGTTCGGCGATCTTGTTTAAAAACAGAGATACAAAAAGATAGTATACATAACCTGCCCATTCATTCAGACTATCAGCAGCATGTATTGTGCGAAATGTAAATCTATAGTGATGCTCCTGCAATTGTGGCCATATTTCTTCATTTTCATATACCAGCTGCGATTCGTGCGTTGCCTGCCCTGTCAACCATGCTTCAAATGTTGGTTGAAGTTTCGCCTGTAGCTACAGGCGAATATATATAAAAGTTTACACTTCCTACGAAAAACACGCCAAAAAAAGATTAAATAGAAACGAGCGCGCCGACAGCTGGCGTCGTCACAGCCTCCACAGTGCGACCGGGGCGAGTCCGGGAAAAATTCTCTCCTCGCCGTGACGTCACCCCGGTTCGCCGTAAGGGGGCGCCCCGCGCCGTGTGACGGACTCGCTTTTCCTGCCTGCGAGCACACCCTCGCTTTGTCGTCTGCTAGGCACAGAGCAGACGACGCCACAGCGCTCGCCAATTTTCGCTGAGCACGGTTCAGCGAACCAGTGCGTAAGAGGTGCCCACGGTTGATTCCCTGACTCCGCTGGTTTAGGATAATCATCGCCACTACATGTAACATCACGGTAGTGATGTTACATTTAGTAACATCGGATACAAAGGGCACAACCGGCCTGCTATGGCGACGCACTGGCGGCACCCCCGATTAGTACACGATACCCGCCGTTTCTTCCCTTACAGCCAGAAAAGAGGTACGAGGGAAAGCGGGCAGAAAACTCCGTTGTTTCTTTGGCCCTAATCGCGTCGGCTACCGTCACAGGTGGCGTGCTGTGCGGCGAGGAGGCGTTAAGAAGCGACGCCGGGTAGTGGTGCGAGAGTTCAACTTCAAAAATTATTTTCTCGCTTTAAACAAAAATCACTATGATTAAACTTTCAGAATCAAAAGACGATCAATCGTTCTTCCAAACCCATCATATTTTGTATTTTTACTTAGACCACCTCAGGGTGGAATAAACGGCTGTTTATGCGTCAAAACGCACTTTTTGGCAACTTCAGTATTTTTTTTTTACTGCAAGATGTTTAGTTGAGCGCTTTAAAATATTTTTTATAGGATATATACCTAGAGGGCAGCCAGTAAAAAGTTATATTGGGTCCCGGGAGCAATTATATATTTTTTAATAAAATGACAAAAATGTTTATTTTTGAATAAAATTATGTATTTTTAAAAAATATTTAAATTAAACAAAACGGCACAAACTCAACCACATTGTGAGTCGACAACCGTGCAAATTAAAGAAAAAATATTGTTGGGTGTTTCATAAAGAAGCTGATTTTTCGTAAATTATTGAGTGATGCCTAGTTTCACGCGGTTTTCAAATATTAAAATCGCGCTCACGTCATCACAAATTTTTTTTCGTCAAAACTATTTTAGGGTATGGCTACGGAAATTGTGACCGAAGCCCATGAATTTTTTTTAAGAAATCGGAGGTGGTCGAGCGTTATGTCTGGGACGTTTCACATGGAATGACCCTTCTTTTAATGCTTAATTCAGAGCAGAGTGCCATAATTATCAAGAAAATGGCCAAATTGACAACAATGTGCTAACGCATGAGCTCTCAAACTGGGTTCCCCAGAGCACCGTCAAGGGTTCCTCAAGCTCACCAATTTCCTCATTCATTCCTTTACGTATCTTTAACAGCTTGAAAGGTCTGTCACATTGGTACCCCTAGGAATGAACCGCTAACCCCTGCATCAGACAGGGCAATTTTCTTTGAAATTCCAGGGTTGCTAACGAGTTCCCCGGGCATTTGTGTCAGAGATACAAATCGCCAGCTTCGATCAGGATCAAAGCAAATGTCTCGATTCAAGCAACTTGGGACAACAACAGTCAGTGAAGGGCGACATCTTAACTTTATGGCTGTTCGAGACTCGCGAGACGTCAAGCGCGATGACGGCGGTTCGCAAAATGGATGCCACCGCTACTAAACCAAAGCCGCATAATCTCCGAGACATTGACTGCTGTCAAGATTCCGCTTTAATGGAAATGTGAACTACTTACAGACTCCCTAATGTAGCAGTCCATTATATCCAAATGCATGTTATAACAGAATCTGTAATAAGCAAAGTTGGTTCACTGGCATGGATAGGAAGCCCAACCAAACTGTACAAATTGGTATGCTATGACCAGGGTTTCGAGCTCTCGGAGGTTACTTTTGGCCGAAAATTCCAAGTTTATAGGAGTTTATTTTTGTTTTATTCCCAATTCTCTGAAATTCGGCATTTAATTTTGCAGTATATCCTATTAAAAATAAATAAATACATAAAAAAATATACGGGTGTAAACGTATGCTAGATAAAAAAGATTAAATGCGCTTGTATCAATCAACAATTCTTCAGCTCAATGTGGCGTTAGTGCCATTGCCCTTTTCAATACGCATTTGTTCCACGACAAAAACTGAACAGAGGTGTTGGTTCGATAAATGTTACCTTAAAATCAATAAACTCCAGGAGGTAGCCGCTGGGAAGCTCGTATTCATCCCATCCTATTCCACTAATTTACCCCGCGACCGCGCAAGGTAGTGGTAAAGGAAACAGAGAAGTTTCAACTGCCCCTCTTCCCCATTTCATGCAATCTCTTTGCTCCATAGCTTTCACTAAGAAAAACACAACCTCTCTTTCCTCTAGAGCACAAACAGTATGGCCCAAACTGGAAAACAAAATAAAGGCTTTTGTCGTGGCTCGAAACTACAATGACCTGTTGTCCTGAATGGACTCCGACGAGATAAGACATGGGCCCTTTTGACAATGGTCCGAGATTTAAAAGATAATTTGGGTGGTACTTTCCCAGAACCACGGACCCTGCGCCTTAATCAAACCTAAAATACTGTCACTTTTTTTTTTTTTTTTTTTTTTGGGGGGGGGGGGGGGTTATTTTAAAATTCCGAGTTACACGGATAAATAAATCTGAATATATCAAAATTTTATCAGCGGGTGTTTTTCAGATTTATCCGGAAACATGTAACCCTAGTTATAACTGAATGTCTGCTGTCACGAGATCGGCTGTAACCAGGTTCTACTGTGCTTATAGCCTTTCTTGTGCTCCAAGCTGGTGTAGGATGGTGTATACAGGTGCCCTCTTCACCCCAGCGCACATGATGGCTGAATCTCAAAGCCAATGGAGATCCTAAACTGCGAGAAAAATAGCAGGGCTCCACACCTGTCCCAGCAAAAACTGCCTCGGCGCCGACTTCCCTGGGATCTTGTGGCTCTGCATGTAGAGGTGGTTCAAAATTTAGAATGGCACCTAGCCATAAGATCATACTAACGAAACAGACCAGTCTTAACGGCAGCTGCTGTGATGTCACGTTCCCGGTTCTCTTCGGACCGCGGCTCTGCAAAGAATGCGAAGGCAATAAATGTGTGCCCGGCGATTGGACCCCGAAATAGGGAATTTAACCCAGCACAGACCCGTAATCAAGTGGAATGTAACCCTTGTCACATCTGTGTAATCTGGGGGTTCAGCAAATAGAAAAAAGAAAACAAGCGAGACATATAATTACATTATTTGTTCTTAGCGAATAGAGCAACTCTTTGGCATGTATTTATTTATTCATTTATTTGTATATACTACTGCCAGCATTTTTATATGAACGCCAAGGCAGAAAATGCATAAAAACAAAAATCCCAAAAATGAAACACACAAATGCGATACAGGCAAACTAACTGACAAAAAAAAAAGTGAGCAGCACATCGTTAAAAATGTATGTTTAGACAGAGGGAAATTAGACTGCCCCAATGGCCGTCCGGTGCCTCCAAGCAGATGAGAGGTTTAGCCAGCACAGTACAACCGCTGGTCCTGGAGTCTTTAACGTGCATTCTGCAGTAGCGATGTACAACTGCATAAATGCACCATGCTCATCGCATGAATAATCCATCAGTATTTTTTCCCTACAAAGACAACCTGGACTATCACCCCTTCAAATCCGAAGGAAGCTATCATGCCCTTGCCCTCATTATAAAATTTACTACCATTGCCCAGAGCTCGAAAGTGCCCTTTTCTCATGACCCCTATAGAATATGATGCGACCTGTACAACTCTTGTCCAAATAAACGAAACTCCACTTAAGCTAATGTGTTCAACAAATCATTCCTTCCTCATGCAATCGCTGAATGGAACCAGCTGCCATCCTTCGTCGTTGGCGTCACCAACGCAGCAGTGTTTTATAATCGTCTAGCAGCCAATTTAAATTGACTACATGCATAGTAACTTCTGCTGCTCTTATTCCTGTTTATCTTGTTACTGTTCTGTGTCACTGTTGTATTGTTCAAGTCAATGCCCCCCTTATGTAATGCCCTAACCAGGCCTTAAAGACTGAAATACAGTGCAACTCACAACGATAATGAGAAATCTCAAAATTTCAATCATTATAACCAATTATCGTTGTATCTGGGCTAGAAACTGATCATTTCCAGTCTAGACACTCTAGAAACTGATCGTTATAAGTAGTACATTGTTATATGTGGTATCGTTGTAAATGGGTTGCACTGTAAATGAATGAATGAATTAGTAAAATGGGCAGAAGTGGTGATTCAGATTGAAGCCAGAGTCTCTGGCTTCTGCAGCACGAGCTGTTGCTTCATGATTTAAGGTGCAGCGCATGAACTTACTTGCTCACCAATCATCATTTTTATAGCTACAAAAAAAATGTGGTCAACAACGTACGTTTTGTAAGAGGCAGCACTGGGCTGATAGGTTCCCGGTATTCCTCACGGTAATCCAGCTCTGCGAGTATAAAAGAGAGAGATTATTTTTGATGTCAATGCATTGCGAGATGGAAAGCTTTAAGACAGACATGAAATCAAAAGCAGACCTGGCTTCACAGATACAAGATGGCTGCCAGGCTCCTCGTCCCACTCAACGTAATGTTGGGGTTCTGAAAACGTAGAGACGCCATAGTAGCATTTTACCTTATGCTAAAACGTAATAAAAACGATTCATCACTCTTATCGTTCACTGTGCATGAAGTGCCCAAAAGAGCATTACACGAGGGATCAGAAAAAGAATACGGGCGTTTTTCTGTGTGCTTTGTTCACGTTTATATTTTTCCTTGCAATTAAAGGGGTGATTGTAATTACCACTACTATTAAAGCCTTTAACTAAGATTAATAGCATATAAAAAAAAAGTAAACAAACGAGATGATAAAAGGTGGCTGAGATGCTTAAACATGTTTGGCTTATGCCAAGAGGTGAAGCAGCCACGATAGGGGTGCCATGGACATGTATTACTAACAAGAGATATCAATTCACCTGGCTTCACAGGTACAAGATGGCTGCCAGGCTCCTCGTCCCACTCAATGTAATCTTGGGGTTCTGCAATTGGAGCAACAACATAATGAAATTTTAGCTTATGCTAAAACGCAATGAAAACAATGCTGCAGGAGATGCCATGGACATGTTTCACTGACAAGAACAGAGCACGGTGGTGACAAGAGGTATTTTAGGTTATGCTCAGACGTACAAAAGAAAAGCTAGAAACCTAGAAGTTAAACACTAGCAACTGGGTCCGACGCTGACGCAGCTACATGTCACGTTTTCGTGTCCAATTTTTGTGTTAAGTATACCTGTAACATATTATATTTTAAAAAGACTGAGGAGCGGAGCAAAAGGTGGCATAAGCCACTAACTAAAGAAAGCAAGCTGCTCTTGTTCTAGTATTGCATGGTTTACATCTCTATTGGAGAGGAGATCGAGGAGTGGCGCTCCACAGCGGTCACCTCGGGAACTAACGCTGTGAGGCAAACAAACCCTTCGACCGCAGTCATTAGTGCATTCGCTGCCATAGAAGACAACGATGCTAGGCTCATGAAAGATATATGCAACAGTATCCTTTCCCCTAAACACACCTCGATAAAAGTAATCTAGTCCCCTCTCGTTATCAATGTCATTGAAGTCCTCTTGGGAGGCAAAACAAGCACATCTGTGGTAGTGGCTGCACCCCCCCCCCCCTCTTGAATTGTGCATGTGTAAAAATTTAGGGTGAGGGGGGCGAGGGAGAAATTCTCGAAAATTTGATATGTTGGCCCCCCCGCCTCCTCCTCTGGAAATACTGCACCTGCGTGCCGAGCCAGCCACGTTGTGTCGGCCCTGCGCACTGGATCATACGTGGCCGACGCATTGTCCGTGTTTTTCTGAATGATTCACGAAACAGACGAGTCAATTTTCAGTTACCCTGTCTCTTGCGACAATCATGGACGACATCCGCAAAAGCAAACATTGCCTCGTTGAAGGAGAGGACGTGCTCAACTGCGATCATGTCATTGAGTGCAGCGTTGCACCAGAGCCGACGGCAGACAATGTCCGCATCGTCGCGTACGTGCTGCAGTCCTCCGAGCTGCATATACCACATTCAAAAGCGTGCTTCGAGCACTGCGGTACACAGCAAGTACACACCATATCGCTACAAACAAATATGCACCAAGCGCAAAAATGATGTGGTGTACGCTTGGCAAGTGTTGGCATCTGAGTTTGCCACACAGCGATTTTTTGTGGTGGTGATGATGATAATAATAGAACTGTGCCCCCTACCAGTTCGATCTCCTCTCCAATACCCCCTCATGTCATCCCCTGCTGGACCTTCAAACGTACAATAATTAATAAATACAGAACATTCTTCCCAGCCAGTTCAGTGGACATCTTAGTCCTGAAACAGCGTGAGTATAGTTTGTTGAATCTCAAGAAGGTAGGGAAAGGGAAAGGCAGGCCGAGAAGGAGGAAGCTGATGGAACGCTGGAGAAGAGAAGGAGAATACTCCTCCTCTCTTTAGCGTTCTGTCTGCTTCCTCCTCCCTGGCCTGCCTTTCCCCTGTGACAGCAAACAAAGAGGCTTCCTTAGGCCAAAGTACGGTTCCGGAGTTGGAAGTCAGGCTTGCAACATACGCCGCAAAAGTGAGCAATCGGTCCCTACCCGTGACGTGCAACGCGATCGCCGAGCAAGCGCGGAAGATTCGGTTGAACGTGTCATTCGCGAAGTGTGAGTTTTCGTTGGACGATGCCGACGACGCGCCTTGAGAACGTAGCAGTGATGACGACGGTACTGACATCACCAGTGCGGACGAGTCGTAGTCAAGTCGTGGACGGAGAGAGAACGACAGTGAGCAGCTTCGGTTGTGCCGCCTCCAGCGTGTACTTCCTAGTTTCGATAACGCCTGTACATCTCATGCACCTCGCACGTGCATGCGCAGCCAAAGCACGCCAGAAGGTATCGATCGCGTGTTGGAGGCGCGGCTTTCGAAACAGATACTTTGCCGTTCTCATGTGTTCCCAGTAAAACGCGCATCTAACGATTTTTTTTTTGCTGATGTGCAGTGTGTGTGTGTGGGGGGGGGGGGGGGGGGGGCGACTTACAATCGTGTAAATGTGGTACATCTTGTTTAGTTCAGCAGAGGCTGATATCTGGGTCAAACACAACAAAGCAGCATATAAAGGTCTCTTTCTGTGAAGCTTGGGCTTTTCTTATTCAAGGACAAATATCAATTCAGGACTTTTCAGCTTTCCTCGATTTTGATAAAACCGCATAGTGGGTTATAACTTTTCGGGGTTTGTTGGTCAATACCGGATACACGAAACCCTACACACGATAGAAAAACAGGAAAACTGCCTATGCAGTAACAGACCAGTTTTAAAGGGTTTACTCCACCAATTTTTTGAGCTACCTCAACAAACTATATTTTCGGACTCCCCGGCCTTTAGCCTTTCCGGTATGCTATTTAGCATCGCGAAATTCATAATAGGTATTGTGAAATCGGCAAATGAAAATGGTGCAAAAACCAATATTCAAATATTCCCGCACTTTTCATTGCCGTGACGTCAGTGGCAGGCAGGCTTGCCAATCGAGCAAGTAGTCTAAAAATAGAATATGCCAATCATTTTTTCCGTGCTGGAGCGCGGATACGGGAGCGAGCTTCCAAAGCACTCATTCGACACCATGAAACTGCTTCAAATCCGTTGGGAACAACTTCTGTAGTCCAAAAAGTTAACCCCTGCCTTCCACTGACGTCACTTTGTTGTTGTTGCCAGTAGAGACTTTCAGTTTGAAAAACATGGTGAAGACCAAAACAGTATATTCTATAACTTCGCGAAAAAAACAATATTTTGACCTAATATTTGGGATACTATTTTAGCAATATTTGTTGGTTAGTTTAGCAAAATTTCAAGCAAATCGGAGACAATGAAAAAACCAGTGGAGTACCCCTTTAACAGTGACAGTTGCCATTGCATTTAGTTCACTGGAACCGTTCAATTCTGCAAAGAGAGCAGGCAAAAAGCTTTAATTAGCACAAATTAACACGCTAGACATTATGGTGCTATTAATGCTTTATTCACAGCACAGAATTGCTTTGTCATAATTTTCAAGAAAATGGCCACATTGATAATGATGTGCCAATAAACGGGGTTCCCCAGAGAACCTTCAAGGGGACCCCAGAGAACCTTCAAGCGTTCATCAGAACACTTTCAAGGGTTCCCCAGAGCATCTTCAAGGGCTCCCCTGAGCACCTTCAAGGGTTCCCCAGAGCACTTTCAAAGGATTCCCAGAGCATTTTCAAGGGTTCCCCAGAGCACCTTCAAGGGGTCCCCAGAGCACCTCCAAGGATTCCCCATGCATTATCGAGGGTTCCCCAGAGCACCTTCAAATAATCCCCAGAGTACCGTCAAGGGTTCCCCAGGGAATCTTCAAGAGTTCCCCAAATTTTTAAATTTTCTCATTATTTTTCTTTATATCTTGGAGACCTTGAAGGGTCTGTCACATTTGTACTCCTGGTAGTGAACTTTTAAAGGGGTACGGAAACGAAAATTGAAATGTACATTTCATCAGAAATGAGTCAAGCATGACGGATAATAACCGTAAATGATAATCGCACATTTGTATTTCGAACGACTGGCTATATTTTTCGTTCCAATTGGTGCACTCGAGCAAGTGCTCGAAGTGAAGCGAACGGAGAGCGTGGTACATCATGGGATATCCGGTGCAAAGAAAAAAAAAGATTTCCCGCTTTAGCAAGGCTGGCGGAGTAATGAGCTCTGCCGTTGGTGGCATTGTAAATGTTGTGGTGGCGTCAACGGTGTCAACGAGTTACAACCGAGCCGTTCAAAGTACCCATGGGGTGACGAGCGTTTCACGTGTGAGGTCAGTCGTGCGCGTCGTGTTCTTGTGGCCCACTTCACTGGCGCTTCAGGACGATTTCCTTGGGAACATAAACTTGAATGACACAGGTGAGGATGAGGAGAGCGACACTGCCCTCTCTGTATTCATTTCGGAAAGCGAGCAGCAGGCGTCAGAACCTGCGTCGGAAACGACAGACATTGTTTCCGACGTGGCACAAAGTTTCTCGTCGCTCAGAAACTTGTTGATCAGCATGTCGCTGTTGATCCTGTCGTTACCACAGTTCTCAGCTACGCAGAAGAACGGCGGCATCTCAACGTTAAAAAGCGCAAAACGGCTTCAAACTGCGCAGCAAAGTCACAGAAACAACTTGGTGACATTCCTCAACGTGTCCATCACGGCATCTCGTTGGCTTCCTTCGCAAAACGGCAAAGGCTTCGCAATCGCGTTCGGGACGAGGTATCTTACAACAGTTGAACGTACTTCCAAAGAGCGGCGCTGCTCCGATGTTTAGTGCGGCTACGTAACAGTTCCTGCTACGTCATGACTATGTAGCAAGATTCCCAACGTTGCTAGATTACCTCCCAACTAAGCTACGCAGGCGTCCACCAGGTGCAGATTGAAAGATTGTTTAATTAGCTCTAAATTAAGTTCTCTCGTGCTTTTCAATTAAAGACTGGTGTTTTCGAGGTTATGGTGCAACATGCAACAGATTTAAGCTAGAAAATGCACGCCAGAGTTTTGTTTCTGTCCCCTTTAACCCTTTGCAGTCACGGGTCGGGCATGGCTCGACATTGGAGAAACGCGTTTCCGGTCAGTTGTCGGAAATCGCTCGACACGCAACTTTCGCTCTTGTTTAAACTTATAGACCGTTCCATTAGGGTCATAGCAGAGAGGGTAAAACGAGAAAAAAAATGCCCTCCCCTTCTCGCCCGCATGTCGTCTGCTCCACCGTGTGGGCAGTACCTAGCATCTGGCTGGCGTACAAACTATGTTTAAAATCGCGTCATTTTGGGAATTTCAAGCGCAGATGCGCAGATTTTGGTATGCCAGTTATCGTGTATTACTATGCTAGATGAAAAAAGACTAACAGAGTCCAATTACGCTGTTATCTGCGTGCAAATAAAAAAGAAGAAATAGGGAAAACTGTGTCATACTGGCCGGTCTCTCCGGTGAAAAGTGAATCCGGTGGCTGTACCTTTTTTACTATACCAAGTTCGCACTGGTGTAGGCCTTTAGCGACCATGAGTGGATGTCTGAAATAATAAATAAAAACGTGCTAGTAGTTGAGGGTAGTACTGGCGGCTGATTCAACTGCTATTTAAATAACGGAAAAAAGATATGTCAGTTGATCATTTACCGAAGTAGAACAACAGAGAGCTCTAGGCTGATTTTGGAGTAGCCATAACTATTCTAAGAACGCGAACCGCTTCACAACGGCAGCCACGAGCGAAAGTTCGATGTTCCGTACAGCCCGCCGATACAGCCCAAAGATGGAGAATGGCAACCTCCCGTTTCGTCGTCTGCTAGCGGAGTCGGGCGCGTGCCCTCTCTCTCGTTTTACCTCGCCGAACGTTCCACTGAATTTCCCGGATGTATGGAGAGGGCACTGCTGTCGAACAAAATGGTGCCGCCCAGAAAGCGCTAAATGGAATGGTCTATTCCTCCATTCTTTTTGACTGGATTGGTGGTGCCATCTCTCAGCACGTTTCTTTAACACTTCACTGTTTCTATAGTTTTAGATTTTTTTTTTTTTTTTCATAGAGGGCAGAAGCACTCGTGAGCAACGGAGGCGCGAGCCGCTTCGAATTTCACTGGTTGGGAAAAGCATGGCAGCTTTTGCACCACGCTCCTTTTATGGGAACTCGTCGTGTATTTTCGTGGAGAGTGATGACGATTTTAGCGAAGAAGACAATTATGTACCTCCATCAGACGACGATGAAACATTGTCTGCTGACTGCAGTGACAGTAGCGACGATGAAGTGAGTGTCCCAGACAACAACAGTGGACCTGCTTCTCCACGTGCCCCGGCACTGTCCTTGTGGAGTTCTTACACAGACAATCTCCCAGACTTCCCTGGCGTGGCATTCATTGTCAGTGACCCTGGACCACAGGTTGGATCGTCAAATCTCGGCTCCAAACTTGAGTTTTTTCAATTATTTTTTACGGATAAACTCATTGGAGAAATTGAGCAAGAAACAAACTCATGCCCACCAGAAAATTTCACCCATGGATTGGCTCGCTGATTAATCCATATGGAAAAGTTTTGAAGACGTTTCTGTAGAAGAATTCAAGGCTTTCCTCGGTGTCCTCATGAACATGGCCCTCAATCCCAAGCCAGACATCAAGGAGTATTTCGGCAAAAAAAATTTGAAAAAGATACCATTTTTTCTTGCTGTGTTCACTCGCACAAGATTTCTGCAGATATTTTGGATGCTACACATCTCTCCACGTCCGCAAGGTCCCTCATACCAGCCGACACGAGGTAGCAAAGTGAGGAACATCGTAAACTACACTGACACAAAATGCCGTGAGCATTTCAAGCCCGGCCCTAAGATTTGTGTCAATGAGAGTACTGTTGGCTTCAAGTGCAGGGTGTCATTCAAATGCTACAACCCACAGAAACTAAGTAGGGCCTCCGTGTCTATGTACTCGCCGACTGTAAAACAGGCTACGTGTCAGCATTCGAGCCCTACTACGGCAGCAGAACAACACAGAGCCTCTGCAGGCCAGACCTCCCCTTCACGTGTCGGATCGTCCCGCACCTCCTCGACAAAGTGCAATGCACTTCACTCGAAAGCGGGTACCACCTCTATACGGACATGTTTTATACGTCCCCACAACTTGCTGAGGAGTTGCCCTCTCAGCACCTTTTGCTCAATGACACTGTCATGACCAACAGGAAGCATATGCCCCAGCAGTTAAGGAAGAAGATGAAGAAGGGTGACGTGGCAGCGTATCAAAAGGGTGACTCATACATGGCCCTGGTTTCGCAAGGTAAGCATCAAGTTACCATGCTGAGCTCGGCACACAATCTCTCGACGAAGCCTGTGACAAGAACACAAGCATACAGCCAAGCGGTGACACTGGACAAGCCAGTAGTCATTTGTGACTATACAAAGAACATGGGAGCATGCTGATCGAGCCAACCACTACTGCACGAGTTACGCGTTCTGCCACAAGTCACTCAAGCGGTGGAAGAAGCTCTTCTGGATTCTCGAGGTCGCCATCGTCAATAGCTTCCTGCTAATGCAGATGCGACAGGCTGCTCAGGGACTGAAGGGACAAAGGCACCTCCAGTATTGCCGCAAGCTGATCGAACAGCTGGTCGGGGACTTGCGAGTGCGACCCGAGAAAAGGGGATGGGCATCACAATCCGACACTGAGGAGAGATTGGATGGAAGGCAGCACTTCATATATACAAGCTACAAGTTAACATAGCAGCAAAAAAAGATGAAAGCCGTTTACAGCTCCCTGTAACGCCAAATTAGAGCGCAGCTCTTATTGGCGTTACAGGGAGCTGTAAACGGCTTTCATCTTTTGGATTTATGGTTGTGGAACATTCACGTCGTCTATCTTAAATGCACATACATGCATCTTAACCTCGCAAGGAGAAGCCAAGGCCACAAAGGTCACGTGACCCCCCCTAGCTCACGTGACCCTCTCCCCAAAATCACGTGACCTCGGGGGGGGGGGGTGTCATGTGACCTAAGGGGTGTCACGTGACCTCAGGGGTCACGTGATCTGGGGGGTCACGTGACACAACAGAGAAATCTTTCCGCTAGATTTAGCGGGGAAATTTGCCCATAATGCACCGCGCGGTTATGCCGACAGCGACGGCGACGCCGCTCAAGCCGGAAACGGGTGCCTAAGAGCTGCGCTCTAAAACTGTGCAGTGTCCAGCGATCGAAAGACGAAAGGATGGATACTGAAGAGGAGTGCATTGTTTTTTAAAAAACAAAACTGAAGCGGAGTTGCTTTTTAAGTACTCTAATTTCATTATAGTAATGTCGTCACAGCTGTCTCTGATCTAGACCAAGCCAAATGCAGACGATTATTTTGTCTCTATAATCGTGGTCACCTAAGGAAAGGCTCCAATTCCAATAAAGTAATGCCATTACTGTTGTCTATAGTCTGGAATAAGCCAAATGCAGATTATTTTGTTGTTATAATTTATGGTCATGGAACATTCACGTCGTCTATCTTAAATGCACATACATGCATCTTAACCTCGCAAGGAAAGAAATTGGCGTCGCTATTCGAGGATTCTAACTATCTTACTACGGTTCTTGAGATGAAAACGAGTAAAGGGTCTTCAATGTACACAATTTAAAGGAGAGTGACACATGACGAGGGCAGGACGATATTTTTGCGTCCCTCTCTTCTGATATCCGTAAGTTTACAAGCAAGCTTTAATTTGCCTTTGGAAATATTTATGTCCGTATTTACTCGGGTAATGAACGGACTTTTTATCCCGAAAAATCGACGCATTAACTACTTATCTCTTTGCGCCTGGCGCGCGACTCCAAAACCAAACTGCAATGCGCAAAAAAAAAAAAAATGCTCCTTTTTGTTATGTTTTTCTTTTAGTTCCGTGGGTTGTTTTCTTTTTGGTTTTTCTTTGCCGCCTTTCGCAAGCTGTTTTGTTTGCTTAGGCGAGGGCTTCTCCACTTCTTTCTTACATCCTTACCCCGTGACCAAACTGCGCTGTGCAAAAAAAAAAGCTCCTCTTTGTCTTGTTTTTTCTTAGTTCCGTTCGATTTTTTTTTTGGCCGCCTTTCCCAAGTTTTGTTTGCTTAGGCGTTGCTTATGCGAGGGCCTCTCCGCTTATCTTCTGATCTCCTTGCGCGCGGTTTGCGACATAAAGTCCAGACTGCACTGTGAAAAAAAAAAAGGTCCTCTCCACGTTTTTCTTCCTTGATTCCGTTGGATCTTTTTTTTTATTTTTTTAACGCCTTTTGCAAGGCGTTTTCTTGGCCCACGCTTCCATGCATTCCCGACCCCGCTGCATCAGGAGAAAAAAGTGTGTTCATTTCGCGCGCGTGGGGGGAGGGGGTAAAATTTTTGACGTCCGAGTTGGGGGTGCGTTTAATACGCGAGTGAAAAAAAGTCAAAATTTTAAGAGCCGACTTGGGGGGTGCGTTCATTACACGAGTGCGTTCACTGTGCGAGTAAATACGATACTGATAATGGCCAGTGTAAAAAAAAAAATTGCACGGAAAGGCCCCCCCTCCCCAGAGAACTGAGCCTGTCCCCCCTCCCCCCCTGGGAAAATGGAAAGTCTACGCCGCTGAGGAGACCCCTGTTTTAAT